AAATTGATGTTTGTTTGTTTGTGACAGGGTTCTTGTACCCAAGACTGGTTGTAACTTCTCTGTGAACTTGACATTCTCATCCTCCTGTTTCCACTTTCCCAGATCTGGGGTTACAGGCATGTCCTACAAGTCCAATTTTATATAGTACTAGGGATCAAACTCGTGGCTTCACACATAACAAGTAAGCACTCTACTGACTGACCTAAATCCTCAGCCATGACTTACAGACTCATGAAGGTTGACAAGACCAAGGTCGGCAGGGGCAGTCAGCAAGCTGAAGACCTTTAAGGCCAATGATATACTTCAGTCAAAAGACATCAAACTTAAGACACAGGAAGAAGGTTTCAATCCAAACCCAGGTGGAGAGAATTTGATCTTACTTGGGGGAGGGTAAACCTTTTATAGTATTTAGTCTAACTCTCAGCTCCATGGATGTTAAGAATGACAGTTTGCTTTACTGAGTCTACTTATTTATAAGATGGCTTCAACTACAAACAGACCCATGGAAAGATCTTGAATGTTTTCAAAGAAATATCAAGGCTCACTATGGCCAAATTGAGTTGATGCAAAAATTAACCACACCACCTAAATCAGACTTTTTGAATAACATTATTTTAAATGTTAATATTTAACAAAGATTTATGTATTTATGTTCATGGGGTTTACTAGTCCCCAAGATTCACTTTTGTGATGGTTTTTGTAAAAGTATAGTGTTTAAAATTATGTCTCATGAGGCAAATTAGAAAGTACTTTCTTCTTTCAACATTTTATAAATAATTTTCCTAACATTGTGATGATCTCTTTTTTGAGTTTTCAAAGACTTTTTTAGAATATCCAAGTATGGAGTTTTCCTGGGGTGAAGATTTTTTTCATGAAAAACTCAATTGTTTTAATAGATACAGGAATATTAACATTATCTGTTTTATCTTTTGTGAAGTTTTAAAAATTGTATTTTACAAAGTATATGCATATTTAATCAAAGTTGTGAAACACAATAAAATAATATTGTAAATTTTCCTATATATTTGAAATATGTAGAATCTGATAGTAGTAATGTATGTTCTAACTCAGCCAAGTTTTAAGCTCATCAATTTTGTTGTTCTTTTCAAAGAACTAGATTTTAGCTTTGATAATTTCTTCTATTGTTTGTAATTTTATGGGTTTCTTCAGTAAGATTGTTATTTCTGCCTTTCTATCTATGTTGAGTTTGCTGTTCTTAATCTAGCTTCCCACAGTTATTGTGCTTATGTAAGACATTACAACAAGATGTTCTGATATCTCAGATGCATGATTATTTCTGGTCTCTTCAATATTTATTTCCTTTGAGGTAACAAGGGCAAGAGGCACAGATACAGACCGTGAGCCGGTTTGAAGGAAATGGCCCCAAAGTGAGCAGCACTATTAGGAGTGTGGACTTGTTGGACTAAGAGTGGTCTTTTTGGAGGAAGTGTGTCAACTGTGGTCTCATATATACTCAAGCCACACCCAGTGTCTCAGACCACTTACTGTCATCTGCAAGTCAAGATGTAGGATTCTTAGTTCCATTACCACGTCTACCTGTATGTAGCCATGTCCCACTATGCTGATAATGGACTAAACCTTTGAACTGTGAGCCACCCTATTAAATGTTTTCCTTTACAAAAGTTGCTGTGGTCATAGTTATTTCTTCACAGCAATATAAATGCTAACTCAGGCAGATGTTGGTATCAGCAACTGGGGCATTTCATAGATAGGCCTGACCAACTTTTAGTTTGAAGTAATACAGACTTTGGTGCTTTGGGTTAGGGAAGCAGTAGAATGCTTTAAGCACTGCTTATTGGGCCATACTAGTAGGAACATGGAAGAAAGTGGCGCTGAGAATGATTTGAAATGTGGAGGAGATGGCTTAAGAGGCTTCAGAGGACAAGAATTTTACTATATTGCCTAGAGATTATTCTTGTGATATTTTGATGAATTGTCTGCATTTTGCCCTTGTCTGAAGAGTCTGTCTGAGCTAAAGTGAAGAGTTTTCAATTAATTCCATTGGCATAGGAAATCTCAAAACAACCTAGCATAGACTGTATTGTATGGTTACTAGTGGTAATAATGAATATTTATAATTAAAGGGAGCAAACTAAGCAGCTTAAAGTACAAAAATGTAAAATTTAAGGAGAAAAAGAGCACCAGGAAACAGAATGCAGCTAAGTTCTGTATTCAAGGAGATATGATGAAGAAATGGAATAAAGGGAGTGGTGAGCTCAATTAAAGAAAAGTTTAGTGCCAGATGAGGTAGTGCACGCCTTTAATCCCAGCACTCCAGAGGCAGAGGCTGGATGATCTCAAGTTTGTGGTCAGCTTGGTCTACAGAGCAAGTTCCAGGACAGCCAGATTTAGGCAGTGAAGGAGAACATGGAGAAAGCTAAGAATGACGTGATTGAACAAGAGGGCTATGTTCCCGCCCCAGCAAGCAAGAGAACTTGGCAGCTTCAGCCATGTGGTTCTGGCTATAGAGTCAAGGATAGAAGAGAGGGGTTATGGAATTTGCCTCCATGATTAAGAAAAGCCACCGAGGCCAGGCATGTGTCAGGGGTGTCCTTGAACAGAGGCCTAGAGATGCCATTGTGTGAAGCTGTGAAGTTGAAGTTTGGATTGCTTTGGAGACCTTGGCATACCTGCCAGGGAAAGCTGCTAACAGGGAGCGGAATCAGCCCAAGACAGAGAAGTGTGTTGCAGTCAACAAAGCTAAAAAGGAGTCAGAGATTTGAAGAACATTTTGACATCAGACACTGAGATGTGAAGTTTAGAGTTTGCCCAGCTGGTTTTCAGTCTTGCTTTGGTCCAATATTTCCTCACTATGCTCCCTTCGTTACATTTCGGAATGGTAATGTATATCCTATGTTAGAAGTAGGTGGTCTGTTTTGTTATTTTGGTTTTACAGGGGATTACAATTAAGAGATTGTATGAATCTCAGAAGAGACTTGGAACTTTAGACTTTCAAATAAAATGTGAGACTGTTATAGACCAAGGGGGACTTTTGAAGTTGGACTGAAAGCATTTTTGCATTATGTTATGGCTACAACCGTTTGGGGCCAGGGATTGTGATACGTGGTTTGGAAGAAAATGGCCCTCACAGGGAGTGACTTGTTGAGGTAGGTACGGCCTTGTTGGAGGAAGTGCATCACTGTGGGGGTGGGCTTTCAGGCCTCATATGCTCAGTGTCTGACACCACTTCCAGTTGCTTGTGTAAAAGATAGAACTCTCAGCTCCCTCTCCAGTACCATGTCTGCCTGGATGCTGCCATGCTCCCTGCCATGATGAGAATGGACCAAAACTCCGAAAATATAAGCTGCCACCTCAACTAAATGTTTTCCTTTATAAGAGTCGCCATGGTCATGGTGTCTCTTCACAGCAATAGAAACCCTAACTAAGACAGACAGTGAGTACACAAACAGACTTCACTAAACTAATTTCAAGGGACTAATTTGACTGCATTTACATTAATTCACTGATATGGTTTGAGTCACTCAATTTTATAATGTATTAATCAGAGGCTATATTCAAATGCTTTAAGTCAATCTTATTATTTGTGTTCCTTTGCAAACAATCACCAACAATTCAGGGCTAAAGACAAACAAAGATGCTGGTGTTTGTGTGTGGCTATGCTCCAGTGTCAACTGATAAGTCTGCCTTATTCCAGGCCCCAGAGGTTCGGACCCTGACTGTGCCAAGCAGTTCTGACCCAGCTGGAGACACAAAGAGCAAAGGATGCTTAAGATCACACCAGAAAGGAAAAAGAATATCAGTCACCTTTTTGTGACAAAATTGTATCCAAACAAAATAAGAAAATACCAAACAAAATGAAGACAGGAATGGTACATCCAATCTTTATAAAGTCCAGTTAACAAGCTTTGGGGCACTTTTTGTGAGAGAGCAGTATAGAGTTTATGCAGGGTCTATTTCCTCAGTAGCAGCATACCCCATCTGTCCACACTTCCCCTCTGTGGCTTCCAAAGCTGCCATCAATTACCTCCAGTCATCCTTTGAGAGGTTGACCAGAATATTCATCTCCTCGTCTTCCTGCAGAAGGCGGTAAGCTGCACTCAAGTGGTGATTCTCCAGCACAGATCTGTCATTGTACAAGATAGCTGGATCCGACCTGGACAGAGACACACAAACTCCTTCAGATTGGGACACAGCTGAGATCCCTTTGGCTTACTCTGACAAGACTTGCTGCGCTGTCACTTTTTCCTGTTTTTAGAAATGATCTTGTCCCCAAGTCATCTGGGTTACCAATGGCTCAAACTAACGTTGCACATTATCAGTAGATAAAAGAGAGGAACTTTATTATAAACTTGTGGGTGTGTTGTGTGTAATATGCACCCCAAGCATGCTAAAACGTTCACATCAATTACCTGCACCGGTGCCAAAAGTGACTTTTAAAAATGTCAGTGGGTTAGACTTTCTTATGATTTCTAGGATAACTTTAATTTTTAAATTTTTATTTTTAATTCAATCAACATCCTAGTTAATATTATTTAGTTGCAATTCTCCAAGTACATATCACTTGGTGGCTACTGTCTGCAAGCTGCCTCTGTAACTTGATCTTAAATTGTTTTCCCATAGAAATGTCACATGTGGATCGTTGAAAACAGAGAATATAATTTTTATATATCCTCAAAGACTATTCTGTAGTTGAATGTTGCCTAACACAGGCATGTATATGATTTTAATATCCCCAGTTTAATTTAAGCTTGGATTATCAGAGCTCATTTGTTTCTCAGCTAGGGTACCATTCTATAGATAGGAAGTGCCATCTCAGAGTCCCCAAACAACTGAGTCACAGGACTGTGATGTAAGTGAGGTGTTCAGACCACAGGACTGATGTGTCTGAATACAACACCTATCTATTGCTGACCAAACTGGGGAACAATCTAGTGCACCTTAAAAGTCTTAGGCTTACCACTTTTATCTATCCTGGAAGAAAGGGTCCAGCCACACAGTTTTCTGAACAAGGAAAACTTCTACTCGGATGAACTGGACAAAGCTTTGCTGAGGGCCAATGTGTCAATGTTTGAATTTACTTCCCAAGTTAGATATTGGTATGTGTGTGTATTTTGTGGCCTTAAGCTCCTGTTTACCTTCTACGATTTATAGGTTTTCCAGTGGGTTGACTGGATTTGTTCTTGGTCTCCAAGCAAGCTCCATGCGGTTGCCCTGCCCACCCCTCTTCCTCAGGCAGCTGTGGGTCACTGCAGTCTTTGTCCTCCAAGCAAAGCATTCACCCAGTCTTCTGGGGGATCTGCCTATATTTAAAGACCTTGGAACAGTGACAAAAATATGCTCCCAGGAACCCAGACCACTCTACCTGGGAAGAAGTGTGAGAAACTACAGAAAATAGCTCAAGTCCTTTACTTTGCTTCTACACCCCTTCTGAACATAGCACAGAAAGTACCATCTTCTTCTGTATGCCACAGGGGAGGAAAGAGATGAGCACATAGAGGAAGAGTAGAGTGTCTCACCAGAAGCTCAGAGACCACGGGTGAGAAGGCACCATTATTGTTAGCATGTCAGAAGCCCTCCAGCGATTATCTGAACTTAGTGATGTCATCTACATGACATCTGGGGCTCTATGCAACCTTGTCACACCTATTAGAAATGGGTAGAGGAGGTGCAGAGCATACATAAATAACGAATGAACATTACAATAGTGAAGAAAGGAGGCCTGACTTTAGATATGAATAAATTATGAGAAATAGCAGCAGGTGTTTTTTCAAATGTGGTGTGTTCAGTGAAGCTGCCCAGGCTCCTATCTTGTTTATAAGTTACTCTTTTCAAAACTGAAAATAGAGCAACCACATAAAAGGAAAGTTATAAATGCACAACTCACTGACATCTAAAACTATATCCCTGCCTCCTCGTGCCTGCTCTACAAACATTTCAACCCCCTCACCGGGTCTGAATGTGGAAATTGTTGGTAGTTCCGGTGTGTTCATAGTCATGGATGGCAGCCGAGAAGATTATTGCGAAGATCTCCAGTTCTGTCAGCCAGTTCTGAAAGGGAGATTCACAGCAATCAGATAATCTGTCTCTTGCTCAGACAGATTCAGCATGCTGACAACACACCCACCCTGCTGCCTTCTTCCCTGCAGCTGTCTGCTATTGCCAAACAAGTTTTCTTACAGAAGTAATGGGGGCTTTTCCTCATTGAGGAGCCTGTGAACTTGTAGTCTGAACACAGCACACAAGGTTAGAAGAATTATTACTCTGATATGACTTTCCAGACAAGCAACGAGAGTGACCATGAAGAACTTTAAAATGTCCTCATCAAATAACCTTCCAACTTTAAGATAAAATTCTTATTTCTCTTACCTTTCCCTTTCCTGTCCATCTCCCTCCCCAGGAAATATCAACACAATACCCTCTCTCATTTATACAAATGTCATTAAAAGTTTTTAACACAATAGCAAGCACTAATAGTAAAAATCCTAATGTCTGATTATGGGAGAAATGTCTACTACATGGTGGGGAGACACACAAACAGAAATAAGACAGTTTTCTTCCTTGTGCAAACTGATGTTGGAGGGACTGATTCCATTCATAGCCTTGGATCAATAGTTTGTCAAGTCTGTCCAGGGGCCAGCAGAATTAGCAGCACCAGGAATACAATATGAATATAAGCAAATTTTATGGTTCTACCTAATCTCACTGAATCAGAAACTGTAGGTTGTGGTTCAGCAATATGTACTCTTTCAAGTTTCAGGATAATTCTAATGCATGTCAGGTTTTAAGACCCAGTGCACTGTTGGATGTTCTTAATGGGGGATGTCCTTCTGTATATATGTTTCTCTTATTGGCTGATGAATAAAACAGTTTGGCCAATAGTTAGTAGAGGTAGGAAGATAGGCGGGACTAGAAGATGAGTAGAATTCTGAAAAAGGTAGGCAGAGGAAGTACACAGAGACACATTGTAGGCAATCAAAGCAGTAACAGGTCCGGGCATTCTCTGATAAGCCAAGACCACATGGAAATAGATTTATAGGAGTGGGTTAATAATTAAGACAGAGCTAGCCAATATGAAGCCCTTGCCATCAGCCAACAGTTTTATAATTAATATATCATACATGTGTTTATTTGGGGCTAAAGCAGCAGTGGGACCAGGCTGGAAAAGAAACTCCAGCAATGTGTTCTTTTAACTGAGTCCCACTGAATGGACTCTGTGGCTTGCAGGTACTTCCCATCCCATTGTGTCCCTTGCTTACATCTCAGCAGCACACACATGCATGTGGCCACTGTGAATCCACAGTGAGCTATAAAAATTTATAATCTCCACTCAGTTTGTTTCCTGTGGTGGATTGAATGACAATGGTCCCCAGAGGCTCACATATTTTCACATTTGGTCTCCAGTTGTTGGCAAGGTTGGAGAGGTGTGGGAGGAGTGGCTTTGTTAGAGGAAGTGCATCGCTGGAGGTGGGCTTTGAGAGTTTGAAGACTTGCACCATTTCCAGTTGCTCTGAGATGTCTTGCTATATCACTGCCTTGCTATCAGGGACTCTCCCCTGGGAACGATCAGCCAAAATAAACTCCCTCTTCCTTAAGTTGCCACTGGTCATGGTGTTTGGACAAAGAAACAGAAGAGTACCTACTGCACTTGGTGAGTATTTATAAGTTCTCACTTCGCTGTATTTAAACAAAATGAAGTCAAGTTTGTACAAGGGACAGGGCTTGTGGGAGAGGAAATGAGTACCCAAACCAGCCCATGGTCTAAGTTTACAATAAGAACCTGAGACATATTTGTATGACTTAAGTTCATGCAAAGTGATCATAAAAATAATTGTTAATTTTGGTTATTAACTAGGGAAATTCCTGACAGTTATTGCAATTAATGAAAAAAATGACTTCACATAGAGAATAAAGAGTGGCAATTGCTACTCTAAAAATTATTTCTAGCAATTTATAGCATGAAATAAAAAAATCTTTCCCAATCCTCAATAATGTGCCAATAATGTGCCCAAAAGTTACAAACTGAGGTTCAAGGAATGGAAAGACAAAGAAAACAGACTAAGAGAAAAATCACTGAAATGAGGTAAAAAGGAGATGCAGATGGGCTGGTGAGATGGCCTGTCAGGTGAAAGTGCCTGCTGTCAAGCTTGTCAACGGGAGTTCAGGCTCTGAGACCCACAAGGGGAAATTAAACCCTGACCTATACACACACACACATGCACACACACACGCACACACGCACACGCACGCACGCACGCACGCACGCACTATCAAACACGCACTGTGGCAGGTGCCCCGCTCTGAGGGAGTAAGCAAGTAAATGTAATAAATAAGCTATAGATGTGAAAAGATGGCAGGAAAGCTGAAGCTGCCTTTCCACAGAAGTCAAGAGCCCTCTCACCTCCTCGCATAGGAAGGTTCAAGGTGCAGCAGAACCTATATTGGGCACTTTTTCAAAGCACTACTTTCATTCTTTGAAAGTTTCATGAATTTATATAATATATTTTGATTATATCCATCTCCAATAATTGCCCCAGCTTCCTCCACCGTTTGTCTCTCTCCCACTATTATGTCCTTGTTTTTGTCATTGTTGTTTGTTTCTTTTTTAGAAAAAGATTTCTTTATTTTTACTATATGTATACAGATGTCTTGCCTGCATGTGTGTCTGTGTACTACATGCACGAAGAGGCCATCAGATCCCTTGAACTGGAGTTACAGAGATTGTGAGCCATCATACGGGTGCTGGGAATTGAACCTAGGTCCTCTGGAAGAGCAGCTTGTACTCTTAACCACTGAGGTTAGGCTCCCATGCCCCCCTTTTAAATGTAGAAACTCGCATGCCTTTCACATGCCCATAAAGGAACTAGCTGTGCAGTTATCCCTACATTACAAACTGAGAAAATCAGACAAGAGGAAACTCATGATCTGTCCAAAGTCACACAGTTGTTCATATGACAAGCCATACAATGTGTCTCCAGAATTCTCACCTACTATATGTAGGTTAAATTTCCTTTGTTTATATTCTGTATTTAATTTTAATTTTCTGTATGTATGTATGTATAACATTATATGGCACCTCTTCTTGAATTGTCCATATATATAATACATATTTTTTTCTTTTTTAAATAAAGGGTCTTATTGACCATGCTAGCTCAAAACTCAGTATGTGGTCCAGTCTGGCTGTGAACTCATAGAAATCTTTTTTTCCTTAGCCTTCTGGGTGCTAGAATTATAGGCTGGTACCTCTGCATCCGGCTATATTGATGTATTTTCTTTCCTAACAGCACATTATCACTAATCTGCTTTTGAACCATTCCCTCTATACAAGTTTTGTTCTAGTTCTATTTGACATCAATGTCATGTTTTAAAATAAGACAGTAGATGGGAATGAGCACAGAGCCTAAACAAATCCAAGGCACAGAACATCAGTATTCAAAGCATCAAAAAGCCTGCAAAGGAATAGTTCCCTCATTACAAATATCAGGCACACTTCCTTCCTGCCCAAGCACACTAACAGCTACTTCTAGGAATCTCTTAGCTTCTAATAAACCCAAACAGAAAGGGATCAAACAGGCAAACAGAAAAATCTAAACTGCACCTTTGAAACTCATTTTAAAACACAAGCCTTGTGATGATCAGTGTGCATACTGGCTTGGGGATAAGAAAGGGGAAAAAAGGTACCGGGGGGGGGGGGGGGAGGGGCATGAAACAGTTTCACAGAGGATAGTCAACAAAAACAAGCCTTGGCAATGGTGACCTGGAGAGCATGGAGTGGGGGATGGCATTTTCAGAAGCACCTGTCCATCTCGAGTATTGAAATGAGTCCCTGGACTAAAGCAGGAATCAGGAGAGACTGGGGCCTCAAACATATGGCTTTAAAAACCAGAGTGAGTGAGGAATGAAAAATGCCTCAGCAGACAGTAGAGCCCAGAGAGTATCTGAGCCAGTCCAGTGCTCCAGGAAGAACTTTTGTCTGAAAAGAGAGAGGGATGAAAAGTTCTTACAGCATGTGTAAAGGCCCATAAAAAGAAGTTAGAGCCAAGAGAACAATGGATTACCTGTGGCCTCCAAACACTGAGCTAGTAACCAAACCCTTCCTGGGTCGTGTCAGATGGCATCCTTGGTAAAAGTAAAGATGGAGAAGGCAGAAGAAGCCATTTTGAGGAAAGTTGGGATTCATACTTTAATGTGGCTCAAATTTCCCTGTGTTTTCCAACTTAATTACTGTGAATGCTGAGGTTTTACATCACATATGAGCAATCAGAAATTTAAGTTCCACAGGCATTTTGTTCTGGGATTATCTGTGATGGTTTCCTGTCTTCCAAATTGGTGTGTCATAGCTAATTCACAGACAGAGCTGCTTTGACACCTGAAGGTGTTATATTTTGGACTGTGACATCTGTGGCTCTGAAGATCAAACTGTGTACTTAGGTGTGTGTGTGGGGGGGTAAGCATAACTGTACACAACAGAGGAAATACAAAAGAAATGGACAAGAGTCGTTTTCCAGCGCTACAGGATACATTACTCTAAGTAAGCTGTGACTCTGCTGTGTGAACAGCAGCTTCTACTTGGACATCACTGTTCTATTGCTGCCTTCAGAAATCACCACAAAAAGATGGTTGAAGAACATCTCATACATGAGAAGGAGAGGGAGAGAGAGAGAGAGAGAGAGAGAGAGAGAGAGAGAGAGAGAGAGAGAGAGAGAGAGAGAGAGAGAGAGAGAGAAAGAGGGGGGGGCGTAGATCATGGGAAGATGAATGAGTAGATACAGTGTTTGTCATACAAACACAGAGGCCTAAGTTCACTCCCAGCACCCATATGAAATGGCTGTAATCGTAGGGCTAGAGAGATGGAAACATGCAAGCCCCTAGGGTTCACTGACCAGCCAGTTTAGCCTAATTGGCAACTCTAGGCCAGTAAGAGAGTCCCTCCCAAAGACAAGGTGGAAGGGACCCAATGATAGCACCTGAAGTTGGATTCTGTCTTCCACATGCTCATATGCATACATGCACCTGCACACACACACACACTTGTGCATACATGCATACACTGCAAATAACTGACACAGTACGCCATTGGCTGCAGTACCATTGATGCTAGTGATGACTTGCATTAGCATAAATGCTTCAGAGTTTTCCTTTAGAGCTGATGAAGCTGGTTGATTCATGTTTATATTGCCCAGGATACTGTGCACAATAGGTACTAAAAATATGTTGGCTGATGAGCTCAGTGAACTATTCTGTCTTTGCTTTAATCTGTTCTACATTATCTTCAAGTATATGCCCCTGAGGATTCTAAGGTACAAGGAGTTCTTCTTCACCAAAGATACTGCAGAACTATGGCCAAATACCTAAATGTATGACCACTGGAGTCAGACTTAGGAGACTAGAGAGATTGGCTCATTGTTTAAGAGTACTTGCTACTTTTGTAGAAGACCCAGGTTCAGTCCCCAGTACCCACATGGCAGTTCACAGTTCTTTGTTACACTTCCCAGCAATCTGAAAGCCTCTTCTGAAGTTCATGGGTACTAGGTATGCATGTGGTATACATATGAACATGCAGTCAAACATTCCTACACATAAAATTAAAAAAACAAAAGAAGTCTAATAAAATGTAAAAGAAGTCAGGCCTGGTGCCATCTTGGCAGTGAGTCTGTACTAGTTTGCTAAGGCCATCATAACCAATACCATAAAAACTCATTTTGTAGGGGTAGGCACAGTTTCCCCAGGCTGAGAACCACTGGCTTACAGGAAATTGTACTCTATTGCACATGCCAACGTATATTTGCATAGACATTTAAGAAGGAAATTTGCAGTAATCCCTTGTGTTAGCTTTCCATTATTGTGGTAGTCTGAATGTAATTGGCCCCATAATCTCATAGGGAGTGGCACTATTAGGAGATGTGACTTTGTTGGAGGAAGTGTGTCACTGTGGGGTGGGCTTTGAGGTTTACTATGCTCAGGATACCACCCATTCTATCAGTCTACTTCCTGCCCCTTATAAGATGCAGGACTCTCAGCTTTAGCACCATGTCTGCCTGCACAGCACCATGCTCCTCAGCATGATGGCAATGGACTGGACTTCTGACACTATAAACCACCACCCCAATGAAAAGTTTCCCTTTATAAGAGTTGCCATGGTTATGCTGTCTCTTCACAGCAATAGAAACCCTAAGTAAGACAATGGCCATGGCAAGTACCTGAGATAAATCATCTTATAAAGATGATTTGAACTCGTGAATTTGAAGGTTCCAGTACGTGACTGATTGACTGTTGTTTTGGAGGTGGAGATACATCGTGTGGCAAGAAAGAGCTGTGCACTCAGTGGGACAGCAAAGAGCCAGGAAGGAAGAGAAAGGGAATCCCAGGTCTTCTTAAGGATACTAATCCTATTTGTGTGAGCCCTGCCTTTATTATCCCATCACTTCTCAAAGTTCTCACCACCTAATACTATCACCAGAGAGTAGATTAACAAAGTACCAGCTCATAAGGAGTGCTTAATAAACCTTTGAAACTGAAAAATGTGTTTGTCATTTTTATCATTAAAATCACATATTCTGTTTCTATAACTGTTCTTACTAATATTTTAGCATTAGTAAGAAAAGAACTACCTTCTTGTTACATACTGTTCCTTTTCAAAACTGCCTTTTCTAACACAGAAAATGCACACATTTTGTATGGATTTCAGACTTACCGAGTTATACATCAAACTTTTGGGAATTGAATTAGTACTTATTGTTTTGAAGGAAATGGCCATCCACACAACATATCTCTCCACTCATTTAAACATTAGTTTTGAGTCCTTTGAGTTTTATAGTTTCCTTTTTTTCAGTTTTAAAGTTCTTTATAAATAATGATACACTTTTCAAACTGTTGAGAATGTATTTTTTACATCATACTTATTAATTTCCAGTACATGAATGGCTCTTACAAATTTTCTCAGCATTTTATCCCTTCCATATTGCATTCCGTGGGATCTGTAGAAAAATATTGAGTAGCTCTCTTGGTGTGTCAGTCCATGTCTTTATGACTCTGTCTTCATGTAAACACTGCTGCATGGGTCCACAGCTTCATGGGCCTTAGTGTGGACACTTCTTCACCAACCCATCCCTTCACAAGTCTGTCTTCATGTAGCTACCTCTGCATCAATCTAGTTCTTCACGGGTTTGTTTTGGTGTGGACAATTCTGTTTTATTCCATGTTTTCATGGAATTATCATGTAGTACAGCTTCTGGTCTGAGTTTTTTGTAGAAACTCATTATCTATAAAATGGGTCCTCTCTATAATATCTCTATAATTTTGAAATGCCTTCTTAAATAGTTATTTTTCCAAAATGAGCCTTCTAATAAAAACTAGAACATAAGAATGGGGGGGGGGACTTCTGCAACAATCTAGTAATAATGCTTTCTAAGTTGAAGGGAAGAAAATAGCCAGTGTTTTTGATATTTTATTCCTGGCCATCTTCAAGGTAAAATCTCACATTTCAGATGAGGACATCTGAGCACTCAAGTGTTTCTCCACAGCTTACAATAGCTATTCAGTAACTAAGCATGGATTTATATGTAGTATATCTAGCTTCAAGGACCACTCCTGCCACTATATTCTAAATTTAATTCAGTGAGCGACTAGACTGAACCAATCATCAGAGATGACAAGGGTTGGGGCTTATTTGCCACACCCAAGCAATTTCTATCTTACTTGTCCTGTAAACGGCCTGGAGGGACCTGTGAAAACTGATTGTCACTCTCTTAACCCAGAAAATCATGCAAATCACAAGATTCAAATCTTTGGTTTTTTTTTTTTTCACTTTAAAAATGCGAAGGAACCTTCCCAGGCCATCTGTTGTGGGCATATTCAAAATGCTACCAGCATCTGAAAGATGCCATCCCAAAGGAGCTGTGCGGGCCAGTCCTGTGATTGGTTTGCTTAGTTTTTCTAAGAACTGATTCTAGTATTTCTAAACCTTTTTAGTATTTTCAACTTTTAAAATAGCATATTGCATCCTCTGATATTCATAGAAAAATACTTGGTGTTGGTCCATAGTTCACAAATCACGTACTGGTAGAGTCAGAAGCCTTGTTCAAGTCCAAACAGTGGAGCTGGACTTGAGGTCACTGACCCAAGAGCTGTGTGCAAGTTTATTGCATGTGCTTAAAAGTGCAGAGAACATATCTGAGCTTACAGATTTAGATGCAGATTCCCTAGCTGCTGAATATATCCAGGTCAACAAGATAGGAGCCAAATATACAGCATTCATGGTCAGGTTAACCCATGGCACACTAAGATGATCCTCACTGAGAAGGCACACACTATGCCTAAGCTGTAGGAGGGGACTTCACAGAAGAAAGAGATACCCCAGTGCAAAGAGAAGAAACAAAACATATGGCACGGGGATAAATTCAGCACACAATAAATTCAAATAGAAATGAAAAAAATTTTCTGTAGGTGTTAATCTCAATGAAAGCCATTTTATTTGTTTGTTCATTTTGTTTTGTTTTGTTTTACCACCAACATCTATGCATATTAAAATTGATGGCTTATATGGAGGTAATGAAGGCAAAGAGGCTGCTGGGATGACTCAGTGGATCAGGGTGCTTCTTGATGAACCAGAAATCTGAGATCAGTCCCTGGCCTCCATGAGGTAGAAGGAGAAAACTGACTGCGTATAAATTGTCCTCTGACATCAACATGTTTATTGTAGCACATGGGAACCCTCCCATGCCCAAACACGATAAATAACTAAACAATGAGAATTTAAGAAGTCAAAGGCACAATCAACTTGAATAAGCTAATTAGTCAAATGAAAAGGCCCCTAAAACCATCTAAAGAGCTGAAAAGAAGAACTATAATAGGGATATTTCAAATGACTAGAAATCCTTAGCTTTAAAAATACTAAGACGTGAATAAGCAGAGTGCTTCTGAAAAACAGCCAGCAGGCTGAGCCAAATCTGAGTTGGAGCAATGGTTGATGCATCCACTGAATATAATTTCAGAATAAGTGAATATCATTGTTAATTGTTGCCAAGGGTCAAAATAATCATTCTGTATGTGGAAATATATTTAGTTCTTACAATTATTCTTTAATTGGTCATCGATTTCATTGGTCTAAAGGAGAAGGAGGAGGAGGAGGAGAAGAGCTTTGGCATCTCTCAGGGAACCCCAAGTCCCTCCACAGGGAACAGGGGGACACTTCAGAACACTCTCCATAAAGATCAGGGGAGCACTCCAGAGAACCCCAAAGCTCTCCATAATGATTATGAGAGCACATGAGAACACACCAAACTCTCCATAGTAGTCAGGGGATGCTGGAAGAAGGGGAGGTTCAGAAGGCATTCGTGCCCCTGGGCTCATCCTCCTCACCCTGTAACACCCTCCAACACTAATGAGAGTCCCTGTCTATACTCACTGCTACTCCTGTCTTATAGAGGAGGTAATGCACAGTCTGGGTGACGTCAGCGGCATGCATCAGGTTATGGTAAGGGTTTTTGTGCTTGCTGTACCCCACTTCCAGGGCCTCCACAAATGAGACAAGTGCAGAAATGGGGATCTGAAAGAGAACACAGCAAGCTTCACTCACTAAAGGACAGACTTACCTTAAGAGAAACATTAAGGTCCCCACCTTGCTTACTTTGGGAGCTGTTGAGGATCACATGAGGAAACAAGAATGTTAATAATTAATAAAATTCCCTGGTGAAACTGTCAGATACTGTGGAAGTCTAACACCAAATCCCTGGTTGAAGAACAGTCAGTCTTACAAACTGGTTTTTGTTCCTCAATTAAGGCAACCAAACTATACAGACTCATCTCAAAGACATTTTGTAAACTGTAAATCAGTGCTTTTGTGTACACATAGGCAACCCCATTCATTATTGGTGACTACTAAACATCTGTATTTCTTTGTATTTTGTCTGTTTTCAGTTTTTTCCTCCAATCCCAAGAGGGAAGAGATGCTATTCAATATCAATGTCATAAACCGTTGAGGAAATTACAAGTAGCACTAGGAATCACCTCAGTTTATGAAATTTTTAAACATTAGTAACACTTCACCAGCAAAAGAAGACTTTCCAAACTGCAAGTCACCAATAATAGCTCATTGGGTGATAAAAAAAGACATAGCCTCTTCCTTCCCATGCACACACTACCACACTGGGTTTCCTGATATTTCTAATGCATACAATGACCTCTTTCAAAGAATGTGGCTTTGAGGAAGTCTCACCCGTGGCAGCTTACATCTGTTACATCACCACTGTTTTCGTACTTAAAATTTTTGTGTCCTTTATGCTTTCACACAAGTGAACTAAGTATGCTGCATAGTTCATATTCAAGTCAGAAAGATGTGAATATTTTCTCAGAACCACCAGTCTATTGGGATAGTATTTTCAGCTGGCTTGATTATTTTTTCTGCTCAAATGTGTGTAACATACACAGCTTGCTCTCCTGTATAGTACAGTGAAGATCTGCAGATGTTACATATAATTAAGAAGACCCTTTGGATATTCATTATGCTAGTAGTGAGACTGTTGATACAGTTGGGCTAAAATCCCTAGTCCAAGCCTGGGGATGAAGAGGAGGTTGTGCGTTCCTAGAGACTAACAGATTCAAAAAGGAAATTCAGCCATACCGAGCCTCTTACATTCTAACCATTAGTGGATGTTTGAAATTTTAACTGTGTTCCTTAGTTGTAGAATTCAGGAGGCAAAAGTGTGGAATATCACTGCAAGTCCAAGGCCAGTCAGGGTTACTTCACAAGTTCCTTTCTCATGAAACCAAAGTGAGTAGGTAAGTAAGTAAATGTCATACAGAGGGCATGAATGAGCTCATTATCAGTTTTCAAAGTTAAGATCAAGGGAGCTCAGGACTTGGGGCTGCTCTGACAGTCTATGAGCCAGTGAGAAGCTAAGTAAAAACATCCATACAGGCTTTGTTCCAAAAAAAGTGTCTCCAGCACCCACGTTTTCTTAAGGGCTTCTGATGTTGGCACAATAAAGGACAAGGACACTGCTGTAAGTTATTTGTAGTCATGTAGAAAGTTCATGCTTCATTACAGCCCTTAAGGAAGTGATAAAGACTTACACTGTCCAGAGACATCGTTTGTGTGGAAAACAACCTGCATTTTCCAGAGACATATCATATCTATCAATGCATGAAGTGCAGGAGACGAACTGGACAGATGTTCCATTGAATACCTGTCCCAACCTGAAAAGACTATGCAGTGAGGGACTGAGCCTGAAGATGATACATTCTCTTTATTTCAAGCAAAAAAAAAAAATCATCTGAAGCATGGGTGACTGGGAAACACCAATGATCTGTCATGGATAAGTAGGAGTTTTGTCTGGATGAGGCATGGTATGGGGGAAAGTTTATGGAGGTTGTCTAGCTCGCTCTGTCTCCGTTGCTATCTCTCAGCTAAGAGTGGTCAATAGCGCACATAAACGTGATGAAGTGAGACGGAATGACCATTGGCCGACAACACCTATGGCAGACTTAGCTGTAGCAGGAAGATAGGTCTCCACGCCGCCTCTATAGTCTCTGCCTTCCAGCAAGATCCGCCAGTCAGCATGTAAAGAAAAGAGAGCCCCAGAAGGAAGAAACTAAGGCCCCATCAGAATGATGTCCACAGTTGCCCACAGCAGGTTCCTGTCCACTTAAAAGGATTCCCTTGGTATTGACATAGAAGCCACTTCTAAGGATAGAGAAATGTATGCAGTTTATCTTTTTAATGAGGTTCTGACCTTAAAACGGCTGATCAGGTCATAGCGAGTGAGTAATTCATAGAAAATGAACTTCAGCGCATGATCTCCACTGGCATCATTGAGAGAAAAGACATCGAAGGACCATTTGTCCACATCCTTCAGGAAAGAGAAATGAAAGAGCACTGTTAGTTCACATCACCTATACAACTGCTAATCTATCCGTGTTTGAGACTTCAGGTAGCCCACAATTGCGACTAAATAGCTCAAGACTCTAAAAACGCTGAGTAAGCTTTCTAGTGTGGTAATACAAGAATGCTTACTGTTTAACACAACTGAAGAACTTTATTATCCAACAGAAATATTGACAGGCATCATGAGTGGTAAAAAAATAAGTGATTTATTGAATAAATCTTAGGTGGTATGACTAGTTACACTTCACTGATGAGGATAGTTACCTAATTCCTCAAAGGCCTGTTGGAAGCACAAAGTGGATGAGCACACATATGCCTTCCACACTGATGCCTCCTCTCAGGCTCCATTCCTCAAGCCCTGAGTTCAAACCAGCTGGGGCACATCCCTAAATGCTCTCCAATCCACTAATATACTATGTAATGACGTCCTATGAGCCCAGAGTTGACACCTTAACTCATTATAAAGTATGCAGAAGCATGCATGGTATTGAAGACAAAAATGGAATGCCACTTCAACTTCAACGGCTAAGATGCAACCAAAGAGAAAAACACTCATTTCAAGAATAGAAAAAATGCTCTCTGGAGCCACAAACTGGTGATATATTTCTCCTGTTGCTCTAACACTTTGGTGAAAGAAGTGAATGTAAACATTTAACTGGACACACACACACCTTATATGCCATTATGAAGTTCCTATTTGTTCACAAATACTGGCTCCAGAATACATGTAAACATTATCTTGAGTGTTTTTGACACAGCAATGCCAGCCACTTGTGGATATAATAAAAAAAATGTATATTTAAATCATAGTTAAATCAGCAGGCATTTGGTATCCTTGTCACAGAACTTCCTTCTGTAGTTTCAGGATGGATATTGATTTTTCTCTTGATAATGAGGACCCATGGAAGATCATCTCCAGGACTGAGTCCAGGGGTTGCTACCGCTGGCATCAGAAACTATCTGCATGAAAATCTCAGTGTTTCCTAACATGATCCTGCTATCCCATTCTTGTGCTCTTGTCACACCTAACCCTTCCAGTCATCATGTTTGGCTCAAGACTGCCAAAGATTCTCTCATGGGAGGAAAGCCACATAAAAGCAATCATATAAGGTTAAAAAAAAAAAGTCAAAGGCTCTTGGTTGGATTGTTTCTGTTTAAATTTAGTGGTAAACACACTTCCTTTAGCAATTACCATTCCATTAAAATAATTAAACCTGCCATGTGAAGTGTTAATACAGAGTTCTCAAATCTCCCAATTCTAGAAAAGGTTATACTTTCCCCAGTGTTCCAGTCTAGGAGAGACAAAGGGTCCAATGCCACACAGTAACAGAACTACTTAATAATCTCACTGGCAACCTCTCATGTGACCTCACTGCCTACAGATGACACTTGTAAACCCAATGTGTCCAAACTGTGACACAGGCTTCATCCCCTAAGTACCCAGTAGGGATCCAGGACATAGATACCGAAATTTACTCACAACCTGGAGCTTTGCTTGAGTTCTATAATTGGGTTACTATGAGTCACAGCCACTGTGTGATCTGGTCCTGAGGAAAAGGACACTGACAGCTCCAGGAGATGAGTAGGGAAGTGGGTTTCCTCTATGGCCTTCATTTCAAAGAATATTAACTGCTATGTTTGAACTTTACTCTTCTTCCAAGCCACATAGGGACTCGCTGAAAACAATGAGGATGCTGAAGGCCTCTGAGTGTTCCTGAGCCTGGAATCTGCAGTTTAATGAGCAGCCAATATAAGTGTCTTAAACACAATTTCTCTTTGACCAAATTTTGCCCAGGGATAATTCCAGTCAAGAAGGTGGAGAACACCCAGGTTAACATAGCCCAAGGAAGGTGGAAACTGTTTATTTCTTCTCTTCTTAAAACTATCTAAGGGGCTGGTTTCTGAGCCACAGGACAACTGCTCTTGTAAAGAACAAATCATTTCTGTACCTCTAGAAACCTACCACAAAGGCTAGAAATAAAATGAAATTAAAAGGTGTATCAAGAGGAGAAAATAGAGAGACACACAAGCAATTAAAATTTACAATGAGCTGTAGTTAATTATTCTATTATTTAGATGTCATTTTATGCCATGTTCTTACATGAACGGCAGTTAACATGACCTGCCACAATGGTTATTTTAGTGACCTGAATTCCCTCAGTCTTTGAGAAATTTTTCTGTACTAAAGGAAATCAGTAGTGATTTCCATAGAAGCCCAGCTGCTCAGTGCAAATAACCTTTTCCCCAGTGGGTACAAAAAAGGAAATGAGAAGCCATCTCTGTGCTCTCCAGCCCACTTCAGTCCTCTGGCAATCACAGGCAAGTGCAGAGGGAGAACTGGAAAGGCACTACAGGGGAGAGAGGACTTGAACTCCCATGATCAACAGGAATTGGGTCAAGGGCAAAAGCTGTGGCCTTAAAGCGCACATTAACAGACATGGGGAGGGCAGACATTTGGAGATATCTCCAACTAATCCAAGTGTCTTTCTGTCACAAAGACCAAGACTTCCTTTCCTTAAGTGGCAAGTAGCAGTTTGTCCACATAACAGCTTGTTCCACTTTTTAGTTTCCAGCTATTCAGAGAAAAGAGACTTCAATTTGGAAGATTTACTCCCATAAACAGCCCAGTGTCCTTGAGCCCAATTGTGTCTGTGTTTATCACAAAGGCAGAAATAAAGTTTTAAATAGGCTTCTAATGATTCTAAGATTTGCATTGAGTGTTTCAGTTCAATTATGAAAATCAATGGCAATTTCATGTGGTGTTGGGAAACAGGTCTCATGAAGTGGTTCTGCTGGAGGACTGGGAAGCATCACTGTAAACTACCCTGATGGGCTGGCCACGAGCATGGGGGCCTGTGGCTCCTCCCAGTATCCTGCCTCCTCTTAAGATGCATGGAGGAGAAAGAAATGTAGTCAGTAAAGAGAGAAATGGGACTCCTATAAACACAGCTGGTGTATGTATCAGAACAGAAGGGAAAACCATGAACACATAATCAGAATGGCCCATGGGGCATGTTTCTTACATTAAGCTATTTGAGAAGCACTGCTCACCCCTACTTCCTGGAATGGGAAATTTATCTTCTGAAAACATCATTGGATTACACTTGTTGCATGTGTCAGAGAAAGACTGTGTTAGATAGAAGTCAGAATTCCACGGTGCCACTGCACAAGGGGACAGGTGCTAAGTGCAGGCAGCATGTAACATCAACCCCCAGCACAACACACTGAGCCCTGGCCAACCCTGCCATGCAACTAAAATACACCAGGAACCCTCCAGACCCCTGAATCTGACTCTGTCCCTGCCTCAAGGAACACTTCTGTGTTGGGCCTTTGGAAGTCATCTACATAATTTCCAGTATGCTTGATTAGTAGACTGTCCAGAGTTCAGCCTGCTTTAAACAATCTGTGCTGGATGACTTCCCATGCAACACCTGGCTAGTGCAAGCCTTGGGAAAAACTTGGGATGTCTCAAGGTGACCAGGACTCTGGAGTAAACAATTGTGCCATAAAATGTTACTGAGAACGTGACCTGTGCTGGGAACATTGTGCTCAGGTCTCAATCCTAATCTCTGGTTGTATTTTTCTTAAAATTTTGTGGGTCTTTAAAAAAAATCTTATAAAATGGAATTGGAGTAGGCAATTGAGTATTGATATAATTACAACCAACAAGTTTCTTCCTAAGTTTAAATACTTTTACTGTAATGCACCTGATCTCCTGTGGCTACTGCTACTTAAATCTCATCATGGCAGATTACTGTATAAAACCAAAATCCACTCAGTGTTTAACTTGGAAGAAAATGAACTAGGAGGGTAAAGACTGAGAACACAGTAATAATGAAAGATTGAGGTAGGAATAACAGAGAAGTGCAGAAATGAAATGTGATTTTCTAAGCACAAATTTAACTGTACTCTGCATTTATTTCCATGTATCCCATAAGCATTTTCAACAATCTTACCTTTAACGCATCAATAACAGCTGGTGGATAACTCAACCCAACCATGTTTGATGTCCGCCTATACATTCTGGCCAAGATGGAGGAAAAAACAAAATGTGTCAGCTTACAACAGAGGATTAGCAGTTCACAAACGGGCACACATATTGACAATTGATGAGCACCCAGGTCATCTGGTGACCCAAGGAACTTTAAATTCTAAAATTACTCTAGTGCTCTTAATGATGAATTAAAAATAAATGAAGGCAACCTCAAACACACAAACCACTGGAAACCAAATTAAACTAAGTTTATGTGCCCCATATTGGACACACTAAATTATTAAATGGAAGGATGGGCTCTGCCAGCAATGACTGCGGGATGAGAAGCATGGTACAGTATTGTACTTGATGAACAAAGGATCTGTGGATGACCCATTGGAAATGCTCCTTCTCCAGAACTTCTAAAAGCAGGCAAGTAAATGTCTCAGGTAAACTTTGAAATGTATTTCTAAAATGTGTAACTGTGTAAGAGGGAATAGTAGAAGAAATTATTCTGTTTATTGTAGGGAACAATTCAGTGTCAAAAAACTAGCAAACTGTCACAGAGAACTCAGAGCCCTTAAATAAACTGTCCTCCCTGGGTCAACCACCTCAAAGCACTACTACTCAAAGCCTGTTCTGATGCTATCCATGTAATTGAAAAACATGGGTCATATGACTTCTGACTTTAAAAACTAGGCTGAACTTAATCTAAATCTTCTTAAGATGAGGATTTTGAGCAAAGAGAAAAACTGGTCCTAATGATGTCATGGAGATAAAAATGCCTGTTTCTTCTCAGAAATTTGAGTTTTTATAATAATGTATCAAAACTACATTAAAAGAGAGCTTAGAGTCATGGGACCTGGTGTTCCTGTGGTGGGCATGGTCCTTGAGTAACCTGAGTTTCACCTTTACCTCTCCACAAATATCCCAGCTTGCACTGCATGGACGATGCTCTTGAACCTGGGCTTCTCATCACTTCTCCTTAGCATCATCCCCATCTGTCGTGTGAAGGTGGAGGCCAGCCAGTCTCGGACCTCAGAAGGCACAGCATCTGACTGAATGTCACTAAGCTCATCCTCTGTATCCAGAAGCCTCCTGGAAATAAAACACACAACCAGAGACTGAGTCTCAGTCTAGAATTCTCTGACACAAGCTTCCCCTCTCTACTCACCCTGAAACAGAGGTTAAAAAAATGTGATATAAAACACATAAAATGGGACACACACATACAAGACGGGTGGGGGGGAGCAGCAGGTTTCTTGGAAAAGCCTCTGAAGGTTCAGACTGGTATGTCTTTGACTAAATTGGATCTGGCCTGTCCTCCAAAGACACAAATATAAAAGAGTGTAAAATGCTAAGACCCAACTGGGGATAGTATTGGAAGAAATGCCCAAAGACTGAAAAACATTGCACAAATAACAACAACCAAGTACTTTGAATCAATGATTTTAAGGGATACCAACTGATGCCCCTTTAATTCCATAGGAGATAATAGAAACAAGAACTTCTAAATTCCAGGAAAGTTCCAAAAACAATGCAGCTCTTCATTTGAGCCCAGTGACTTAAACCATCTGTGAATGTACTTCTCTGATTTGCCTAAGTTAATTTGTCAGAGCACTAGAGAGGAACAAAAGTAGTTATAATAGAGCAAAAAATACTGTCACCTATTGAAGAAGCCTTATTAAAAATGAGCAGTAAAAGTGGCCATCGATGTAAAGATGTTTTTTATTGTTGCATGTGTTTAGATATATTCTCTGAGGTAAAGGGGGGAAAAACTGTGGTATCAAATTCCTAAAATGACTAATGAATCACATCATTAAAAAAAAAAAGCCAACAACCCACAGACTACAGTGAAATCCTTTCAGATTTGAGTTTGGTGAACTAAGACATCATACATACTGAGAAGTCTGTCTGACTGGAGGCTTTTACAATCAACATTTCAACAGTTTCCAAAAGGAAAGCAGTTCTACTTCTTTTGAAATCGATCTCAGTGCCTGCAATTGCCCTGGTACTTGTATAATTCAAATGGAAATGTTTGCTGAAGGAGGGATGCTGAGGACCTGATCACTTAGGAGCCTCCAGTTGCTGCCAGAGATGATGGATTCACATGTACATTTTAGACGGACACAGTGAGAATGTAGCCATCACAGTGGGACGATACATCTGGGGAAAACCTTGCTAGGCTCTTAAGAATTGCCACCTACCTCAAGACTCTGCAATAGCACTAATGGACATATACCCAAAGGGGGCACATTCACACCACAAGGAAATTTGCTCAACTGTGTTCATAGCAACATTATTTGTAATAGCCAGATCTTGGAAACAGCCTAGATGCCCCTGAACTGAAGAAGGGATAAAGAAAATGTGGTCTATTTACAAAATGGAATGCTACTCAGCAGTAAGAAACAATAACATCCTAAAATTCACAGGCAAGTGGGCAGAACTAGAAAAAACCATCCTAAGTGAGGTAACCCAGAACCATAAAGACAAATATAGTATATATTCACTCATAAGTGGATATCAGAAATAAAGCAAAGGAAACCCAGACTAAAAAGACAAAATAAAAGAATTGCCTTTTCAGCTCTGACACCATTTTATCATCTATGCAGTAAGTTCTGCTGGTAATTTCCTAGTTGAGGGAGCAACTGTTCCAGCTCTTTCCCATTGGTTTGCGGAAACTAATGTTTCAGAGTCAGCGATCTGAACCACACCCCAGACCTGCCAAGGTACAAGGGGAGGGGGCTGTTGGACAGAAAACTCTACGTTTGCCTTCTTAATCTCTTTTGTAACTTACCTTGTTTCATCAATGTACACAGATTCTAGCACTGTTGCTGCATATTCCAGGTTCTTCTTAAGATCGACCACAGAGGCTTCCCCTCGCTCTAACTGTTTGACCAGAGACCGTAACCTACAGGGGACAAGATGACTTCATTAGAATAAAGGAATCAAAGAATAATCCTAAAACTGTGATGACACATCTCTTTATAGTTTTGAACATTGTTTTTTACTCCAATGTATCTGGGGAAAAAGTTACAATGCTAAATTAGTAATTTATAAAAGAATAAAACAAGAACAGAAATGTTCTCTAGCCAGGCCCTCACCACACCCAACATTTTGGAGTACTCTCAATGTTATGAAGGTTCTAAATTTCTGATAATTTTCTTGCTCTCAGATATGTGTCTTTTAGTCTCTAATTAGATATAGGAAAGACACCACCAGACATCACCAGACACCACCAGACATCCCTGAGACTCTCCCTATCAAAGACACTTTGTTCAGCAGTGGCTATAGAGAACCATAACCCTACAGCCTACAGATGTTTCAAGACTTATGGGAAAGTATAGAGTACCACTATAGCCACAGAAGACTATGGAAAACTTAGATGCAAGTAAATTGTGTTGACAGATAGGAAGAATGCCCATAAGAAGAGTAATAATGGTTGTCCAAAATGTGGATGAGTGACAAACTAAGGATTCCAGATCATCCCAGAGAAACGAAGAGGCACAGTCTCCTTACATAGAAATCATTGGAACAGAGAAGGACAGGTGTGGGTGGCAATACAATGTATTCAGGCGATCAAAGCATGGTAACCAGGGCTGGGGAGGAAAAGTACCTGTTTGGGATGTTTGGTAGCCAATGATACCAGTAGAAAATAGTACAGACCTGGAAGTCAAATGTAGATTTGAGTGTTGCCTCACAAAGTATTGTCTATGCACAGGTAAACTAGGTAGCTTCCCTGAGGATTAAAAAAAAAAAAAAAAAAAAAAAAGCACCACGCAACAAAGTTCAGAAGTTGATATAAAGGTCAAGTGCCATAATAGATATACGATGAAACTCTTAGTAATTCTGTAAGATGCTATTGATATAATTACTGTCATTATTGTTAATCAAAGGTCCTGATCCTCACAGACACCCAGACAAGAAAAGTCTTGGCAGAACACTTAAGATCACTGTCATATCTCCATTGTATGTGGGTCTATGCAATCTGTCTCACCTTCCTGATTTCAAAGCATCCACAAGCTTGCATTAGCAAGATGGAATAGGTGCAGTACTTGACAAAGTTTGCCCTTGAATCTGGAACCTTAAGACATTTGGCTACCCCAAAACCCCATATACCCCAGTACATGGCAAATTGTATACTACTCTTTTCCTGGTGTTTATAAAAATGACTAAAATTTTTTTAAATCCTAATTTGTCTTGAAAAGTGGACCAAAAGTATTGGTTATCCAAGTACAAAGTATTCAAAAATTTCAATAGCATGGACTACAGAGAAGATTTAATTGAGGGCAGTCTCTACTGTACTGGCAATGTCCAACACACAGACATGGTGGTCGGTGGATCTGGAGGCGACCACCAGCCTTGCATTAGGAATGATACTGGACAGTCAGCAAGATACAAGATGTTGGCATGGAAGGTGCTGCCAGTCATTCATGTTCAGGGGGCAGCCTGTCTGCCAAGGAACAGAAAGGGTGCATCAAGGAGCCTGGCTGCTTGTTGACTAAGATCGGACACTCTTTAGCAAGACACATTCCCAGCTAAGCCTGCTTCTAACTCTAACTCTCAGGAGCTCAGACACTGCTAACATGGGCTCTCAGTTGGAAAAGCAAATTGAGAGAAAAATTCAAACTTTAAAAACATTTTGCCTTATCTTAGAGATGAAAGATTCTAACAGAAATTCATCATGAATGTTTTGTTAGGATACATCTTAATCCTAAAACCCAAGAGTAAAGGACAGATTGGGAGAAAATAATGAGGGAAACTATGACTAATAAAACCAGAAGGTATCACCTTCCTGGAACAGCTTCCAGGGGGGTATATAAAAGCAGTTTTAATCAAAATAAAAATGTTGGTAGGCTAAAGAAAACCCAGATAAGCAAGTGAGAACAGACATTTTTTAATAATCAGACCAAATAGTGAAAAGAAAAAAAGTCTAACATGCACCATTATGATTTTTTATCCTAAAGAATACGAAAAAACAAAACTGGAAAAGGTTTGAGAAAATAAAACATATTGCTTTAAAAGTAGCAAACATTCAAGCTGGCCATAGGCTTTTACTCTGTCACACACCAGAATGCAATTTCACAGTTGCCTCAACTTTTTTGAGAACAATGTGGTATAATTAAAAAGACATCCATATGCTTGTGTAAAAGGATTGCTGTACATATGTGTGGACAAGTGCAAAACATGGCAATTCATATGCTTCCCACAAAGGAGAAAGAAGCAGCTTTAAGGCACACTCTGGAAAGTGCTCAGCAAACATGGCGTGCTCATTGTCCCTGGTTAAATGACACATGGATGCAGGGCCTGGATGTGACTGACTAAACTTTACTGAGCAGATGACTTCTGAAGGAGTCACAGAGATCAGCCTGTCTCTGCCTCCCAAGAGCTGGGATTAAAGGCGTGCGCCACCACAGCCTGGCTAAGGAAATAAAATCTTAGAGACAGGAAATAGCTGAAGGTTGAACCAGATCTGCATTGCAAGTGGGTCAGAGGCATACGATAAAATGATGGAAAGAAAACTTGGAATTTTTTATTACCTATTTTTCTTCTGATGTAATCTTAAGGAATAGAAATACTATGTTTCTTAAATGTGTAAAAAAAGGAAACAAAAAAATAAGAGGCCAGGGGAAGGGGTGGGGAGATACTCAACTTTTTAGTAGTGCTCAAGAGAACTTCTGGCCTAGGTGCTAAATGGGAATTCACTTCATGAGCACCCA